TTCCTGCACTCTGAGGTGTGGGGAAGTCTCCCCAAAACCCTGTGAGCATGGCAGGAGGATACCAGTCCTTCTCCAAGGATGTCCACCCACCAGCCTTTGGACCCCAGCTCCTTGGACACATCTGTGTAGACTGACCATAGAACAAACCAGGATCAGGCTTATTTAAAGACAGAAGTGGCCAGTACTGAGGTTCTGCTTTGGGCTCTGATTTTGGGGGCGCTTACTCTTTTTCCCTTAGGAAGTATCCTGGCTCTAGACAGTGTGTGTGAAATATCAGGCCCCCTCCCGGGGTTTTCACAGTCCCAGGCCCGATGGAGTAGTCCTTGTCCTCAGATGGCTGGCAGCTAAACCCCAGAAACAGAGAGGCCCTTCCCCCACCTGCTGCCACCTCATCTCACTGCCTCTAGAAAGAGCAGCTTCTTTGGGGGGTCACCTTGTCACCACTGAGACCTTATGGCAGGAATGTCCCATCCCCAATCCCCAACACACATCACTCCTTAGATGAAGGCCTGGTTCAGACACAGTATATGGCTCAGGAGGACAGGTCACAATGAATCCCCGTCCCTGTGAACCTGGGTCTGAGGACCCAGTGTGGCCCTAGAGTTGGCAAGGACAACTCTAAGCCAGTTCCAACACCCACAAGCTCTGTGACCCCAGGCAAGTTCAATGAGGAAACTAGGGTACTGAAAACAGCCTTCACAGGGTTGTGACATGGGACAAATGAGGAAACACACTAAGGAACTCAGTCCAACTCTCTGTACAAACTAGAAGCCAGCTGTGCGGATTCACCTCACACCACGTGGGCCTGAGAGTTAACGAGGTAGATAACAGCGGGGAAACAGACAGGAGGCAGGCGGCAGGGATCATCACTTGAGGTCCTGGACTCACCTACACCTGAAGGTAGATTCTCCATGAATCAAATACCACAAGAGCCAGCACATCCCCCTTAGCACAGGACCCAGACAGCACCCAGGTTTCTTCAGAACCCATCCACCCTTCAGCTTGCAGGACTGGCCATACTATCAACTTGCACCTTAGACCATCACCCCATCCCCACAACTCACTGTTGGTTATTGGTTCGAGGCACCCACAGAACCGGCCACATCCCAAATGGTTGCCTCAGGTGAAGGAACACCTACCTAACCAATTCTGCCCACTCTTGAGAACAAGCCAAAATCAAAAAATCCCCAGCAAGGCCAAAAGAAAGACCACTAGATTGAGGCAAGGGGTACCACTCACCTTGTGAACATCAACAAAAATAACTCATCAATTGATGGGGAACCTCCTTCAATCAATGACCTTTAAGAGGCTGGACCAGGTTGGGGCGTGACCTTTTGGGTACCCAGAGAAAACCACCGGCCGGCCCAGCTCTCCATCCCCCAGCAATGGCCAAGAACAGAACTGACCCTGACTGAGCATGGTTCAGGTCAAAAGAGCGATACTTGAGAGCTCCAGAGCTGTAGATATGAAGCCCCTCTGAGCTTGCATCTGCCAAAACCTTCATAGCTCAAAGGTCCTAAACCGTATTCCTCTATCTCGAAGCACCCTTAACCCTGCAGAAGAAGGTTACCTAAACACGTGTGAAGCAGGTGACTGAAGAGCTCCTACCAGGGCTAGTCTATGGCCTACGAGAGAGAGGAGGGAAGTCTATACGTACTGAATACCTCTGATGCACAGGTACCAGGAGCAAATCCAACCAGGGAGGAAATGAAGGCCCAGAGAGGACTGAAGCACAGCCAAGTCACTTAGCGAGAAGGAACATCGGGGCTGCGATGCCCAAGGAGCAAGCTGCCCACTGTCCCCTGGTCTGACAGGAACCGAGCCAAGAGGCCTCTGAGGCTACAACCCTCCCTTGTCCCATCTTTTCTTCCTTCCAAGGATGCTGGAGCTTAAGTTCCAGGAAGCAGTCACTGTCTCAGGTCAGCTTGTGTGTTCCCACGGACTGAGGCTGGCCAGAAGATGCACTCACCCACCCACTCATGCCATCTGTCCCAAAGAAACACACATAGGAATCCCTCAGCCACCCTTCTGAGGCCCAGGGACTGCCAGATTTGGAAAATCTTTGTAAACAGTTTCACAAACCTTCTAAGGATCTAGCTTGAGTGGATAAGGTTCCAGGGTCCCCAAAACTGGCCTCCAGAAAACACATGAAGAGATGTTAACAAGGAGAGTGGATCTCGTAGCCTTGTGCATATGAGCTCAGGGCATGGCAGGTAAGGACACTGGGATCTGCCCAGGCCAAAGTTTACAACAGAGCATTTACAAACAGGGCAGACACGCTTGGCACCACAGGACAGTCCGTCATACTGCTAGCAGGGCTCCTTGGCAGATCCAGCACTCACCAGAGTGAGCGTAGGTGAATCAGCACCTGGCACCCTCTGGCAAGCAATGTATAGCCAAGGATTGGCTATGGAGTTGCCAATACTGGCATTCAAATTCCACACGCTGGAGGGACCAACCATGAAACTCCAGAAAGGGATCTTTCTGAGCCTATTTCCACCTAGACGGAGAGCAACGGATGGCATTGTGAACATCCATTCATACGGCAGTAAGCAAGCCAAGGCTCTGTAGAGGGCTGCCATGTGTCCAGGGAGCTCAGCTCCCGTGGCTTTAACAGGAAGATCTTCTGACCCCATGCACTCTATGCGGCCCATGACAGCTCTACCACCCCAAGAAGGAACCACACCCCACCAACTGGGGCACCTGCAGATTTTCAAAAGTCAGAAGCTGGAAGTGGGCCTCTCTAACCAGCCCACAGCTTCAGCCTTCCCCCAGAGACTTAAAGGGACTGGGTACCCAAACCTCCTTGAACACAGACTACCATGTGGCTGAACTTTGTTCAAGGTGAGGAAAGGGATAGTCACCATCCAGGCTTGCCCCAGGATGGAGACAACAGGCCCTGGGAATCCCATGATGAATATTAGAAACCTAATAATTTTGTGTTGTTGTTGTTTGTTTTGTTTTTGTCAGGGTTTCTCTGCAGCTTTGGAGCCTGTCCTGGAACTCACTCGGTAGATTAGGTTGGCCTTGAACTCAGAGATCCACCTGTTTCTGCCTCCTGAGTGCTGGGATTAAAGGTGTGTACCACCACCGCCTGGCAAAATCATTTTTTAAAATTTTTATTTTTTATTTTATGTGCATTGGTGCTTTTGCCCACATAAATGGTCGTGTGAGAGTGTCAGATCCCCTGGTACTGGAGCTACAGACAGTTGTGAGCTGTCATGTGGGTGCTGGGAATAGAACCCGGGTCCTCTGGAAGAGCAGTCAGTGCTCTTAACCACTGAGCCATCTCTCCAGCCCCCCGGCAAAATCTTTAAACTGTAGTGTCAGCCCAGATAGGCTCGAATCTGAGCTCCCTGCCTGCTGACTCTATAACTGGGCTAACTACTCCATCCTTCGGAGACTTCCTCTCCACGTCCCAAAGACAGGCAGGGACGTGTAGGGCAATAGGGAAATTTCATCCAGTCAGACACCAGCAGGCCCATAAAGCTTTATTCCTCATAAAGAAACCCTGATCCCAGGTCCTAAGAGGTCCCAAGCCTGGCACGCTGTAGCCAAACAATGGCCCTAAAAGGACTCACTCAGCCATCCTGCCCCCAGGGGTGGCTGATGCAGAGGTAGCTATGGGTCCCTATCTTACGAGTAGGCAAAGGAGGATGTCAGGCCCATCCCCAGATCTACTCCAGAGGGATGAGTGCCCTGGGTACTAGGTCGCATTTGTCTCAATGTTCCCTTGCCCCCACAGCCCGGGCCTGGCGGCTGGGCACAAACAACAGTGGCAGGAGAGAAATGAAAGTGAAACCATGGAAGAGGCCTCCCTGACCCTGGTAGCCACCTGCCACCCTCAGTCCCTCTGGAAAACAGTGGACAGCACCCCTAGAAAAAGCCTGCAAGCCTGCAGGAGTGAGGGCTGCCTGTCTGCCGGCCTCTTGCCTAGTCCCTCACTAAGCCCCTGCCATACTAGCCAACCATGGAGGCAGGAACAGAGGCAGCAAGGTGAAATAGCAGTCACCACAGTCAGCTGGCCAAGTCTTGAGTTCAGAACTCAGTGCCGTCTCCACCACCTACACCCTCTCGAAGAGCAAATGCACACCCAGGATTGCTCAGCTCACAACCGAGTGGAGTGGATGGTGGAGGAATAGCCGCTGTGTTTGAGGCAAGGTGACCGGGCAGAGTGGAAGCAATGTCGTTTCAAGAGTCAACCAGCCCCGAGGGGGAATCCCGACTCTCCCTGAATCTAAATTTTCATCTAGCAAACACAGATGCACCACGCACCTGGGAGAGTCGGTTTTCCATCTACGATTACGCCAGGTTTGCGTAGGTTCCCAGCAGCCTCTGAGATCTAATGTGAGCTGCTCATGTATAAGGGAGAAGAGAGGAGGTACATAAAACAGCCCTTCAGAGGCTTGGCAGCCACATGCACAAAGTCAACCATCCCAGTTTCCCAGCTTGGGTCTAGGAGCACATGAATACCAACCACACACACAGTCAGCTGGCGAAGTGTCTGGAAGCTACAGAGGAAAACACCTTGGGGCTGTGTTCTCATCTCCGCTCCCCAAGCCCTGTGGTTCCTCAGATATCCGGTACTGCATGTGGCCAGGGCCAGGCCCCAGGAACATCTCCTTCCAGCCCCAACAGTGCACTCCAAGGCAAACTAGCAGCCAAAGGCAAGAAATCTTAAAAGGCGTGGAGAATGGATTTCCCAAAATGTGGCAACCTGCCTGGTGACCCTCCTTGCCTCCCCACCCCCGCCTCCCGCATGGGCCAGGTCTCCAGCAAGGCATCAGATCTCAATGATCTCGAGCTCGTGGTAGACCTAGTGTGAGCAACCAGCAGGGATAGAGAGACCCAGGCATCAAGCTCCCACAGTCAAGACTATGGGCACAAACCACCTGCCTGGCGATCTCTGCTTTCCAGTGTGCCCATCTGAAAACCCTCTGCCCCAAGAAGTAGGGACCTGTCCAGTCTTGGTTTAGCCTACTCAGCCCAGTGCTGCCTACATGTGAGAGTTTTGTTGTGAGGTCCAGTAACACAGAAGATGACAGCTTGCGTCTTTCAGAAGAATCCACCAGGGCATCCACAAGAAGATCCTCAGCCCGCTTTCCTGGAGAGGCTGCACCTTCAGAGATGTCTCACCAACAGCCTCACCAACAGCCCAGGTGTCTTCGGTTGGGCAAGTTGGGCAAGCACCGGTCAGGAGCAAATAAAGGACAACCAAAAGGTACAAGCATCGGTTGGGTTTCCCACCAGCCTTCGGCTCTGTGCAAGGTCAGCTCACCCATCCCACCCCCGGACCCACACACAGTTTCCGATTTCCTGAACACAAAGGCTGAACTGAGGCAGACTGGAGGAGGGTGTGCCCCCTCCTGTCCTCAGCTCCCAGATCATGGTGGCAGCTCCTTCGGACGGTAGGAAGATCACACGGCCACACCACATGGCCTCTATCACACTTTCAAGGAACAGGCTCTGGATGTGGACACCAGCCTGCAATTATACCCAAAGATGCCTGCTTTTTCCTAGATAACTCCCTTCTGTCAAATGGAACTCACAGCCGTGACCAAGGCAGCCAGATCTGTAGCTCCTAGGCAGGGGACTCGGCCCACTCTGTGAGTCTTCAGGCTCCTCCGGGGGGCTCTCAGCCCCTCTTACTAGATACCACCTCCCCAGAGACACCTTCTCTTACCAGAGCATTAAGTGGCCTCAGCTACCCCGGCATAATCCTATGCAATTTGCAAGCATCCGGGCTCTCCCGGCACTTTGCAGTGTGTGACATGCCTGAGAGGGGGCTCACCTGCAGCTCCACAGGCACCAGCGGCTAAAGAGCAGAACCCAGCACGGGTGCACTGGGCAGACACTAACCCAGGCCTTATCCCTTCCTCCTTGCACAAGTCCCACCTCTGGGGCTTCCCTCCTGACCAGAGTACTTCAGGGTCCCGAGCTTCAGCTGAGCCACAGAGGTCAGCAGAGGCCCCTAAAAGCACCAGGCACTTCCTTGCCCCATCATACTCCTTTGAGTAACCATGAGCACTGCGGTACTTACTGGCACCCCAAATCTCTCCCTTCAAGGAGCCTACTTTTTTTTTTAAAAGACACAGACAAGCTGCAAAGCCTAGCCATGGGGCTGGGGGTGCTCAGGCATCACGGAGGAACAGATGCGGTAAAGGAGGAACAGTGCCTCCCAGAAGCTCTCGGGGAAAACCTTTGGCTTGTGGATTCTGATTCACCCTCCAGGGACAACTGGAGGCTTAGCAGAGTCCATTAGGTGTGCCCTGGGACACTCTGAGCGGTTTAGAGGGTGTGGCACCCCGCATGCATGCGCCTGGATGCGGCGGCCCCTACGCCCGCCCGCACCGGTGCTGAGAATTGGGGCGGGGCGGGGGGGGGGGATCCCTCCTGGGAGTGATTCTCAAACCTTCACCGATCTGGAGACAGATCTACCCTACTGAACCTTCAAAGCAGGTGGTGGGAGGGTACTGTGGGGCGGGGGAGGGGGTATCACAGTCTGCAGCTTGGCACCATAAGGGGCCCAGACACCAGCCTGTGAGGCCCTGCTGGGGAGGTGCAGGCCACAAAGGCTGCTTTCTGAGAAGGCTCAGAGCAGGCAAGACAAAGCCCCAGACAAATTCAAATAGTCCAATGGGAATGGCCAGACCTGCTCCAATACAATTACACCCTCACTCCCAGCTCCCAGGAAGGGCCTGTTTGCTAGGAGACTGTAGTTCCAACTGATAGGAGGGGCATGGGCCTTAAAGCAGGGCCTACTGTGTGACCTGGTACCAGCCTCTTTGCCCAGTAGGTCTTGCTTTCTCTTGCCAACACCCTCCCTAAAGCCCACTCTTCAGGAGCACTGAGAAGGAAGGCTGGGGTAGACCCAGTTCAAGAGAAAGGAAGAAGGCCGTCAAAACACGGCTCTTCCGGCAAAGGATCTGCTTTCTAAATAGAATATGACTTTTTAAAAAAGGATGTGCCAGAGTGTTCTCTCAGAAGCCTGTTTACCACAGTGAACAAGAACAAAACCCTCCTCACATCCAGTCAGGAACCACACCACAAAGCTCCCGCAGAACGTCCCAAACCTGCTAATTCATGTGACAGAAACCAGTGGAGCCCGGGAGACCTGATGATTAGGAATAGGACACCCAGAGTCATGAGCCCCGCTGTGCCTGTGCCTGCTAAACCCCAGTCTCACGAGGTAAACTCAGAACAGCACTTCTCACCCCTGCCTCTGGCCAGGCACTGTGCACACGGCGAACATGTGGGTTGTGTCCCCGCCCACCCTGTCACCCACTGGAAATGAAACAGTAAAACTGCTTCAGAAATGCAAGAAAAACCAGGTTTGCTAGAGCAATTGTGGTGACAGCAATGCACCGGCCTCAGGCGGCTACTGAGGTGCCCATTCTGTCCCAGAACAGGTCTGCTGTAAAAAAAAAAAAAAGAAGAAGAAGAAGAAATGCAAGAAAAAGTAGACTGTCTGTGACCTCTGACCCAGCAGCACTCTCCTGGCAATGCACACGCACACAAGGGACGGGGCACCCACTGTCGGACTGGCCAGGCCAGCAGAAGCCAACCCCAGGAGAAGAAAAAATGTCCATCCTTTGAAGAGTTGACCCACACTGCCATTAACACACACACGCACGCACGCACGCACATGCACACAACGATACAGAAGCCCCAAAGGAAGCAGCAATGTAGAATTTCTCCAAGACACACAACCCCACGCACCAAGCGATTGTAACCACTGTAAGAACGGAGACTGACTGCATGCGTCCCTTTGGTCACATCAACACCCATGGAGACAGCCCGCTGAGTTCCCTGAGCGGCTGAGCTCAGGGCCAAGAAAGGACAGGCTGGCTTTGCATTATGTGCTTTAGGGCCTCTGAATTTTGCAGCATGTGCTTGTATTTTAGAAGGGTTGCGGGGGAGGCGAGGAATGGTAGTACACACCTTAAATCCCAACACTGGGAAGCAGAGGCAGGCAGATCTCTGTAAGTTTGAGGTCAGCCTGAACTACGAAGCAAATTCTAGGTCAGTCAGGGCTATACAGCTCAGGCTGGCTTTGAACACGCTACACGGCCAGCCTTGAACTTCTGATCACCCCGCCTCCACCTTGGGTGTGCTGTGATTACGAGAACATGAACCACAACACCCCATTTTATGCAATGCTGGAGATCAAACCAAGATACTCTGCATACTAGGCAGGTAAGCAATATACCGACTGGGCTGTATCTCACGTCCTAAATATTTAAAAAGGAGAAAATCAGGAATGCTAGCTAATAATAGTAACAGGATTAATGAAGATGGCATTTTCACAACGCATAGAATGAATTCTCCTGAATGACCAAACAAAAAAAAAAAAATGAGACTACCTCCTTTGCATTCATAATTCTCTCAGATTTTCCAGCTAGGAGACAGCAGCAGCCTGCCAAAGGCAGGGGTTGTAAGAACCAGAGCCAAGCGGTAAAAGAACAGCCATCAGGCAGAGTGGGCCACTCTTTGACCTGACCCAACAACCGGAGGTTCAATTACACCAATCCCATCCCCTAGCAGGATGGTCAGTGAGCCTGTACCACAGACCCTACCGGCAAACTGCCAAATCCAAGATCGCCAAATCTACAAAGTCAAACGGGCATCATCACATGGGCGGTGAGTTGTGAAGCCAGACCTGGAAACCTAGGCAATTTTATCCAAGACTGGATGTCTCCCCCACAGCAGGTCAACAGAAGGGCTGGGGGAAAGGGTTGATTTGCAAGGATGGGTGACATTTTTCATGTGCTGCTGGGAAGTGAACCTGACTCGGTGTGCCTCCCTCCTCCACAGCTCTCAGACCAGGGCAGAGCCAGCCACTGAAACATACAGGAAAAAGCCGGGCCGCAGACCAGCTCATTCAATCCAGTAATGGTCCTCTTTTCTCCTCCTGCAGTCTCCTAGAATCCCAGCCCAGAATACTAAGCTATTCCAGCAGAGAGCGAGCTCCAGATGGCCTTGTTTTAAAGGATGAAATAGGGCTGGGGTGTAGCTTAGCAGCACTTGCCTGTCGTGCATGGGTCCAGTTCTCCGGCATAAACACAAGGACTGCAAGGTACGCTTGGAAAACCTATAACCCCAGCACTGAGGAAGTCAAGGCAGAAGGAACTCGAGTTTCTGTTTGCTTGCTTGGTTTGCTTTTCTTTTTCTTTTCTTCTTTTCTTTTCTTCCTTCCTTTCTTCCTTTCTTTCTTTCTTTCTTTCTTTATTTATTTATTTCTTTTCGGGACAGGGTTTCTCTGTAGCTGTGGAGCCTGTCCTGGAACTTGCTCTGTAGACCAGGCTGGCCTCAAACTCAGAGATCTGCCTGTCTCTGCCTCCCGAGTGCTGGGATTAAAGGTGTGCTCCACCATCGCCCACCCGGCTAGGAACTCAAGTTTAAGGCCAGCCTAGACTACATAGTGAGACTTAGTCTCCCAAGCAGGGGGGTGGGAATGTAGAGCCCAAGGGGAAGGGACAGACCTAAAAGCACTCTTTAGGACTAAGTTAGAGTTGCTACCAAATTCCAAGCCCTACTGATTGATACCTAGCCTGGACTCCAGAAAGCGCTTGGTACACATAACTCCTGGGTCCTTTCCGAGAACTGTATAAACAGGGCCCTGGTGGGTAAAGACACTGAGATGGTTTGGTCTGAGATGTCTCCCATAAGCACATTTCTTAAACGCTGAGCTAGCCCCGATGGCCTCCAGACTTCTCATGGATAAGAGCCTCCCAGACACACTGCAAAGACCTCCAAAAAGGCCCTGCTTAGCAAGGAAGAGACAATGAGATTGCATCCTCCAATAAAGAGATTTAGGCTTAGGCAGGCTGCGGTGGCACACGCCTTTAATCCCAGCACTAGGAGGCAGAGATAGGAGGATCTCTGTGAGTTCAAGGTCAGCCTGATCTACAGAGCAAGTCCCCCAGGATAGGCTCCAAAGCTACAGAGAAACCTTGTCTCAAAAACCCAAAAGAAAAGAGGGAGGGAGGGAGGAGAGAGAGAGAGAGAGAGAGAGAGAGAGAGAGAGAGAGAGAGAAAGATGGCCGGGCTCACAGAAGCTTTCCAACTGGTGGCATGGGTCCTCACAGTTCTCAAGCCTCAGTTTCCCCAGCTCTACTAGAAAGTTTGCACGAGCTAAGTCACATGTCAGCACATCATTAAGCTCCACAGGGGAGCTGAGTGTGGTGGCTCACTTTTCTAAGCCTGGCACTCAGGAGGAGGAGGCAGGAAGGTCCTTGTGAGTCTGAGAACAGAAGGGTCTGGTAGAGAGTCATGTGCTGTCTCAAACCAGACAAGAATGACAGCGAGGGCAGACAAGGCTCACCACGACCTCACAAACGGTCCTCCACCACTACCTACAACACAACACGGTCCCCCGGAGAAAGACTGAGAAGAAGGGCTGAAGGAGACTCATCCACCAAAGAAGGAAACCCAGGGCAGCTATCCTCAGCTGGGCACGCCCAAGGCCCAAGCCAGCTCCTCTTCTTCACTTCCCCTGAAACCTCGGCTGCACATCTTGGAAAAACCATAGAGAGGAGGAATGAGGGGGCTCCCCAGGCACTCCTAGGTGAGGGACAGAGAGGCAGGTGGAAGGGTAAACCAGATGCAACCAGAGCACGCTCCTGTGCTTGGGAGAAGACACCGGAGCAGCGGGAATAAACAAGGCCGCCGTAACAAGTTGGTCCAAAGCTCATCTGCTGGCCAGCCAGAGGCCCCATCCTATCAGGACTGATAATTAAAAGGTTGACTTTTATACCTGCCTATATGACAGGTGGGGCACCTCCCAGGATATGGAAGCGGCCTGCTCACCCCCTTCAGGAAAAACAGAACGTGTAAACTGCTGAGGACACAGCTCAGCCTTGCGAGGAAAAGTGTCCCTAGAGACTGCGAGCAGCAGCTGAACCCTTGGACATTAACAAGGGTAGGAGTGTGAAAGGAGAGGCTCTGCCCTCTGAGCCAGTCGCAAGGTCTCCAGGGTGGACTGTGAGCTCTGAAAGAAAAGGAGAAGTATGGACCCTGCCCCCCTGGCACCCACTTCCCTGTCTGTAAAATGAGGGCTACAGGAGGCGATCTCCTCTGGCCAAAATAGGATTTTTTACGAGGCCTGCCATTAAACCACTCATTCCAGTGCAGCCTAGATGTCCTCCCAGCACGGATACTGCTCCAAACATTTGGAACAGTGTTCAAGTCTTTTCCCAACATCCCCAGCCCTCTTCGTCAGGAAATTCATAGACAAGTCACCATCCACCAGTACAGAAGCGCTGCACCCCCAGCGTCTGAATGTCAGGAACAGGACGATGCCCGTTCACAATGTCTCTCAGATGCCACTCAGACAACTCCTGCGTTCACAATAAACAAAACACAGTAAAGGGATGGGGGGGGGTCACTATCTCAACAGTTGTTTAGTTAAAGATACGGCCACTAGGGGGCACTGCCTTGAAAGTAACGAAGCAACAGAAAAACTCTTTCTGGTGTTTTCTTTTCCTTCTTAAGCTTCAGCTACAAAGCATCTAAGGCTATACTAATAAAAACTCACATTCCTGGACTGCTAGAAGGGCCCGGGGACCTTCTGCCATCTCTCTGAAGCCAATACCGGGACAAAGGAAGGCAACTAGACCTTGAATTCACAACCCTTCCTGAGAAATGAAAGCTGGAACATTTTCCTGGGATGGGCTGACACCCGGGGGTGCCCTAGATCCCCCTCGCCTCTTTAAAGACAGGAGAGCCCAGGAGAAGAGCGAGCCAAACTGCAAGTCAGGCAGTGAGTACTTAACCCTTAAGCCTCAGCTAGGACTGTACTGCTGCAGCCTACTAATTCCAGGGTAAAACAGGCCAGGTCAAGGCCAAGCCTCAGGTGTAGATGAAGGGTGACCCCCCTCCTGCTATCAATAAACAAAGTACAAGGGATGAACTGAGATTTCCCAAGAATTATATGGCAGCAGGGGGAGCTCTGGTCCCCTCACTTCAGAACTGGACTTCCAGAACATGTCAGAGGGGCTTCTCCAAAATTCTCTATTCTCTAGGGCATTGTCTCGCAGTGTTTTTATTTACGGCACAAACGTCCAACTGTCCTTTCAAAAAATGGTCCATAAGCCCTGGGCTTTTCCGAAGCTCTGGCTTTGAGTTCCTCTTGATTTCCTTGTGAATTCTGGGATGCACTGAACGCCCAGCCGGCCATGAAAAGCCTGCTTTCTCCTAAGAGGCCTGTCTGGGAGACTCCTCCAAAACCACAAAGGGACCAAGGGGTGCAGAGCCAGGGCCCCCTTATAAATAGGCACCATCCCATCCTGGGGGAGGGGGGAGCAGCAGGCTCTTGGACAGCTGTGAGGTGCAAAGTAATGCTGCCAGGCCTGCCTCTCTGTGCCAGCCTAGACTGCTACTCACCTCTGTGCACCAAGGGATAAGGAATACCAACTACTCAATTCTCCAAGATTCGGGAGCCCACCCGAGATAAAAATACAATTGAAGTCCATTTTCAAAAGTCAAATCTACCGAGTGGAAACATGATTTAACAAAAGGCTTCCGCCCCGAGTTTGCAGAAGGCTTCGGGGACTGGATTCTCTTAGGCTTTCGTAAGGAGGCTGTGACCAGCGGCTATTCAGAGAGGCAAGGCACACCTGACTCAGGCACTCTGCACCTCTGTAATGTATTAAGAACAAGATCTATCAAAATCCCTGGTCTCTGCCACCGAAGTACCAATACAGTGAGAACTAGGCGGTCAGCCCAGAGGGCAGAGGACAAGTCTACCGTCCACGGGTCCACCCATCACTCTCTATGCTCTGCCACTCGTTGGTCCTGGGACCACAGGCAGGTACCCTACCTCTCTGTTGATGGGTGTCCCTCTTCTCAGACACGTGGCCCAGAATCACCACCCTGGCTGATTTGCAGGACTACTGCGAGGCTCTAATGAGACAGCAAATCAACACAGACAAGCCAAGTATCGCTACTCATTTCAACTGGGTTTAAACCGGGTGATATGCAATGACAGCTTCAGGAGCTGTGCACATGCGAGGCACGTAGTAGGCTCCACACAAACGCGGGTACCCTGATCTACTAAGGGGAAGGAAAGGGAGGAAGAAAAACACACCGGTCCAAAAAGTACCCTCAAGCCTCTGACTGACGGCGTGGACTTCCCGATTTCCCGGGTTCCGCTGCCCTGGATGATCGGGGAGCTCCCGGCACGACCCCGGTGCACCTGAGAGCCGCGATCCGA